ATATCAATATTCTTATATTTGTAGAGACTTGCTTTGTGCCCTAACATGTGGTCTATTTTTGAGAATGTTCCATGTGCACTTGAGAAGAATGTGTATTCTGCTGCTTTGGNNAATTTTTTATATATTCAGGTGCTGCTGTATTGGGTGCATAAATGTTCATAAGGGTTATTTCCTCCTGTTGGATTGATCCCTTTAGTAATATGTAGTGACCATCTTTGTCTCTCGTTATGGTCTAAATTTTGAAGTCTGTTTTGTCAGAAATAAGAATTGCTACTCCAGCTTTCTTTTCCTTTCCATTTGCATGGAACATTTTACTCCATCCCTTCACTTTTAGCCTGTGTGAGTCTTTTGCTCTCAGGTGAGTCTCTTGTAGATAGCATATATTTGGGTCCTGTTTTCTTATTCATTCAGCTACCCTGTGTCTTTTGATTGGCCCATTTATTCCATTTACATTTAAAGTTACTGTTGATATCAACTTATTTAATGACATTTTCCCCCTTTATGCTGATGTACCTTTCTCTCACTATTCCTTCTTTTTCTTAAAGCAGTCCTTTTAGCATTTCTTGCAATGCTGGTTTAGTGGTACTGAACTCCTTTAGCCTTTTTTTGTCTGGGAAGCTTTTTATTTCACCTTCAATTTTAAATGATAGCCTTGCTGGATAAAGCAATCTTGGTTGCATGTTCTTGCTTTTCATTACTTGGAGAACTTCATGCCACTCCCTTCTGGCCTGAAGAGTCTCTGTTGAGAAATCAGCTGTCAGCCTTATGGGGGTTCCCTTGTAGGTCACTGCTTGTCTCTCTCTTGCAGCCCTTAATATTTTCTCTTTGTCCTTGACATTTGCCATTTTAATTATGATGTGTCTTGGAGTGGGTCTCTTTGGGTCCCTCTTGTTTGGAACCCTCTGTACTTCCTGAACTGGTGTGGCTTTCTCCTTCACCAGCCTAGGGAAGTTTTCTATAATTATTGCTTCCACCAAGTGCTCTCTTTCCTCCCCCTTTGGCACTCCAATAATGCGAATGTTGTTTCGCTTCATGTTGTCCCAAAGTTCCCTTAGACTGTCCTCATACTTTTTAACCCTTTGCAGTAGTTTGTCTACTCTCAGCCACCAAAGCTTTTTTACCGTTCCAGTCGTATGTCTGCTCTCAGCCACCACAGCAAGGAACCGTACGAATCTTAACTCTATTCATTCATGTATCAGTTCATAATTTCTCTTGTTTATCATTCATAATCTTGCATGTTATGTATCACTGCTCTTTCAATGGAAATTAATTCCAACCAGTATCTCACCCATTTCCAAATTTAAAACGACCGCAAAGGGTTTAGTGTTTTTTCTTTTTGCTGCTCTGATTCTGTGATTTTCTCTACCTTGTCTTCTAAGTCACTTATTCTATCCTCTGCTTCATTGAGCCTGTTTTTAATTCCTTCCAGTGCATTCTTGATATCAGATACAGCATTCTTTATCTCTGTCTGAGTTTTATTTATGGTATGTATCCCTTTTTTCATGTTTTCACTAAGGTTCTCGATCTTATCATCTAGAGTCTTCTTAAGTTCCTTGAACATCTTCATCATCCATACTCTGAGCTCCATTTCTGATAACTTGCTTAACTCCCTCTCATCAACGTCTTTTTCTGGCGATGTTTCCTTTTCTTTAATTTGAGGGTTGTTTCTTTGTCTCCCCATTTTGGTAGGTCTTAGTGTTTGTATCTATATATTAGATATATTTGCTGTCTCCCAGTCTTGTGGGATGGGATTTTGTCTTGTGGGTCCAGTGGAGCCCAGAGGTGTGTTTTCCTTACACCTCTGAGCTCTTTGCTCTAGATGTGTCCCTCTTGTGGGTGCTTCTTTTGTGGTTTCTTTATGTTCTCCTGTTGTGGTTGGGCCTCAATTGTTGTAGATCAGTCTTTGGGAGGACCCTCCTCTCAGGTTGGCTAGCTGTATCTCAGCCCTAACGTCAACGTGTAAGCTGTTGTACGGGTGCTGGCAAAGCAGGACAATACACAAATAAAATTCCAGGAAACAAGAGGTATCTTACAAAATATCTTGACAGTCACAATGAAAACAACCCACGTGAAAATAGAACTGGGATAGTGAAGGGAGAACACACACACACACACACACAAGTACGCTCAAAACGAAAAAAAAGAGAGAAAGAAAAGTAATGCTTAGATAGAGAGAGATGTATATTGTTGTTAATACTGGTGAAAATTTAGAAAATAATAATAAACTAAAATGTAAAAAATAGAGAAGCTACTGGGAGATAACAGAAGCAGAGAAAAGATTCTGAAAGAAGGGCCAGCAAAAAATTAAGGGAGAGAATAGGAATAGGATAATAGTTGAAAATGAGAAAACAAAAATACAATAAAGAGAATAAGAGAGACCAACAATTGGACAGGAAGACAGAAGGGAGCATAATGAAAGAATGAAAAAAAAGTAGAAAAAGAGAAAAGAAAAAGAAGAAAAAAGTTATGCCAATGGATTGAGAGGAGAGAGAGAGATAAAGCCCAGGCAGGCAAGGATTCTGGTAAGAGATTTGGGGGAAACTATAGAGGAAAGCAGTAAACTTGGTTATAATGATAAAGTCCCAGTCGTTAAGCAGGGATATCAAGAAAGTCTTGATAGTAGAAGCAAGGATAAAACAAAACAAAGCAAATAACCAAAACAAAACCAAAAACAAGCTAAGCAAGACAAAATTCGGACTCCGTGATGTTTCGTCAGTGCTCCCCACTCACACTTGGTCCACTCAGGTATGTTTCTGTGTTTTTTTCAAGCTGGTTACATAGGATTTTAGGAGGAAATCAAGTCCGTGGCTGGGAGCAGGGGCACTGCTCCTTCTCACAGGGCTGCCATCTTCCCTCCTCCCTGACACAGCAAGTTTTCGAAACTTGTCCTCAGGCAGAGGGGAAGTGGAGTGGACTGGAGCTGTGTCGGGAGAGTCTGGGGTTGTGGGCTCTGGAGAGTGAGATCAGGGGATGCCCCCAATTCATTTTAACCTCATCATTCACAGCTTTCGAAACTGTATGCACCATGGTTGTAAGTAGGACCCTTGAAGTTCAGAAAACCTGGGTTTGATTTGCAACACTATTACTAGTTATATATCTTTGAATAGATCAGGTCTAAGTTTCAGTTTCTTCAGTATTTAAAATGAGAATATCATCATTTTGAGAAGTAAATGAAATAATACATGGAAAACACATAGCCCAATGGTAGGTATAGCCTAGAAGTTCAGAGAACCACCTGTAATCTATGTCATCATCATTTTTGGTTGAGAATTTTAATAACTATACTTTCTAATGGTTTTCAAACTACTCTAAAAAGCCTTGTTTTATTTTTGAAGGGGCTTGCATATGTGTGTCTGGGGAAAGAAGTGGAAATCCCAATAAGTAGAGATCAGGATTCTTTGTCATCACCCCCTTGCAGTCTGACTGGTTCCATTTTTATCTGTACAGTAAGGGTTCATTCTTATCTGTTTAATATATTAGAGTTCTATGCAGTGTGCTGAGAAAGTATTTGACTGCTACAGAATATTTGGAAAACCATTAATATAATTTAACCCCCTTATTTTTCCAAAGACGAAATTGTATTTCATGGTTCAGTGTCTGAACCTATCCTAGGTCATTGAAGTTGGTGGCAGAACATGTTATATCCCAAATCTCTTGATATTTCTTTCTTTTGAAACTATGGACATATGAACAATAAAATTGATTTCTCTTTTATTTCCCTTGCTGAATTTATCTTAAAATAGCCTGAGTCAGGAATTAGCAGGAAACCAGATTAATCCACTGGTCAGATCTCCGTTGGTTGTCTATACTCCGTGCTTAGGGGGTTACTGGACAAATAAGTAGAGCCCATTAGCTCAGATTGGAAAGACTGCCATGAAAGGGCTAGGAAATGGGCGCAGCCTCCTAGAAACCTTGGGATCTGGGAGATGTCAAGATAGAGGGGTAAAGACTTTTGCCAAGTCCAGAACACAGAGATAAGAGTTTGGAATGAATAGAGAAACTAAATGGTTAGGAGATTATTGGAAAACACATTTTAATAAAAGCAGCAAATTAAAAACAAATAAAACCTGTAAACTTCATTCATGTAAAAGGATCTTAAATGAGGTTATCTAGTCAATGATAGAAAAAAAGTTCATCCAGAAGCCTTTCAGCAGTTTTGATTAGTGAGGAACTTTGGGCAGACTCCTACCCTGAGTGTCAAGGGTTCTCGACTTTTCCCATCTCAGAGTATTCTATCTTTATTTCTTAGTCAACGAGAGTTACTAAGACAGCTGTAGTATAGTGGTTAAGAGCCTGATCTTTGCAGTCTGGCAGCCTGGATGCAAATCCTGGCTTCCTCACTAAGGAATTGTATGGTTTTGGACAATTTTTCTATTAAAATTATCTGTATAAGATGATTAATGATAGTGGTTGATTCATGTGGTTGTTGTGGTAGGGATTACATGGGATAATAATACACATAAATCATTTCACAAAAGTCCCAGAACCATCATAAATTATCAGATAGTAGCTCCTGAGATAGGCCAAACTGGGAGAATACCCCAGTAATTCAGAGCTTTCCTGTGGACTTTACTAAAAACTTGCTGTCTTCTAAAAGTGAGCATTTGTACCTGAAGTGGAATCAGAAATATATGTGGACTCATGTAGAAAGGAAAAACAAACATTAAATTCTATGTTCTTTTGTTGAGAGTGGGAGGTTGACTTGACTCATTTGGATGGTATTACATAAATTCTGGGGCAGCGATTCAAGTGCTAGTCTATAGACCAGTGCTACTCTGTGACAGTTGTCAGCTAAATCAGAATAATGAAGGCACTTTGGTGGATTCTTCATAAAACTAAATTACTTTTCTTTTTTATATATTTTTAAAAACTTGTCTTTTCTTTTTTTAATATAGCTTTTGGCAGTTTTTCGGTTCAAAGTGTTAATACTTGCCTATGCTGTATGCAGACTGCGCCATTGGTGGGCAATAGCAGTAAGTATACCTGGATGAGTGGTTCATCTCCTCCAGTGCTGGTGTCCAGGGCCTGCTCACAGGGAGAACAGGTAGTTTTCATCTGGGTTGAATTTTACTAGCTTTTCCTGAGTCCCCTTTCCTCCACATTTCAACGGGTTTAACACTCCAGGACTTCTTTCAAAGGGTCATGACTAACTAGTTTTGTCTGTATGGATACTGAACCAACTGAGAAATCCAGAAGCCCAACAGGATTACTGGCCATGCACCAACCCGCCTTCTACCTAATTTTACAATGAAAGATAAGATCAGTATCTCTGTCACAAAGATATTTAGAAATTTTCCTGTTGATTGAAACTGCTTGGTGATTTTTCATGACTTGCTTATTTTGATAATTGCCTTCCTCCCTGTTTTATTCCCCTCCCTCCAATCTTAAAGGGAAAAGCTCTCATGCTCCTTTTTATTGTTGCCTTTAGGCTTCTAAAAGGCAGTGGCCTTTTTATTTATTTCTGTTTCCTTGCATCTATCATAGAGCTTTGGCACATACTATTCACCCTCGATAAATATTTGATTGAAAGAAGAATTATAAGCAGTTCTGCCTGAATTGTTTTTGCCTTTTCCATAGATATCTGAATACCCACCTTTTTGAGAGCTCTAATAAGGCAAGTATATGAGGGAGGGGAATGCTGCATAGGAATAACCTGCAGACTTGCTTTGGAGTGTGAGACCTTGGTAGCTGTGTGTAGGCCAGCACAGGCTTGTCTAGCACTCCTAAGATAAAAGTCCACCAGGGGCCACCTCTGCCTGGGCCATCTCTTCTGAGCATCCACAGAATCATCAGACCATCCATTGATCTCTAAGCTCACGTTTCATGGATATGGGCTGACAGTTTTAGCCAGACTTGACTCCCCATTTTGAATACCAAATAGCTTTTGTCAATACCAAATAGCTGTGGTGATTGTCCCTTCTCAATTTTCTACAATAGTCTGTATTTGAGTTTCTGTAACATGCCCTAGTGTTTGTCTGTCTCAGTGTGTGTGTGTGTGTTTTCAGAAAAGTAGTAGACACTCAGAGTTTTAAGAAAGTATCTTCAGTATCTCATTGTAAATTATCAAAAGGTCAGATTTAGCACATTCATTTTATTGTTTCCAATTTTTATTTTAAAAAACATTTGTAGAGAGGGTCCAGGCAGCTGGAAGAAGTCAGCTGGCACCTAAAGAGCCCTTGGTTCAGCCTGTAAAGTTACTTAGTATCAGAATGTAAAAGGCTTCCTCTCCTAAGTAGCATACTCTGGCTGGTGTGTGTGTGCTCGGGTGAGCAGCTTGTGTTTTGTTAACAAATACTGACTCTGAAACTTTAATATTTACTAAGCTTGACAACTCCATTCTGTCAGTCAAGGCTACTATTTGGCATTAATTTTGGTCAGGTTTTATATTGCTACAATCTTAGTTGGAGGACTGGGTGGTGACAAGGACCAGGTCCTGTGGGATAATCCCAACCCCTAGGGGGAGCCCTGCCTGTGTAATTTCACCATCCTTTCTTCTGTGGTGATAGTGTCTTTGGGGATAAAATTTAGTTTCCCAACATACCAGCTTGCTAACATGTGGAAGAAAGGAAGCCATAAGAGCCAGTCAGAGACTGTATGCCACATAGAAGCAGAATTTGCCGCAGTCTGGACTTAGGGGATAGAGATAGAGTGAGGTGGGAAGGAGCTGGGCTGGCTTTAGCTTCTCAGGCATTATGTGCTTTTGACTCAGGTGGGTCTCTTGTGTGAGGAAGGTGCCTCTACAATGTCCAGTGTCTAAATTGAATGGTGCCCAATTATGTGTCTTTCAGTTGACGACAGCAGTGACCAGTGCCTTTTTACTAGCAAAAGTGATCCTCTCGAAGGTATGGCCTACCACTTCTGAACAATACCATTGATAATAACAAAGCCTTGTTTTCCATTCTGAGCTCATGGTAACTGTATTTCCTTTTGCTTGTCACAACTGTTCTTCCAGCTTTTCTCTCAAGGGGCTTTTGGTTATGTGCTGCCCATAATTTCATTCATCCTTGCCTGGATCGAGACGTGGTTCCTGGATTTCAAAGTATTACCTCAAGAGGCAGAAGAAGAAAACAGTAAGTTTCTCTCAAAATTAGCCTCCTGAGACTGGCTAGGTACTGAGCTGGAAGGAAGAGCTGTAGATGTCATGATTTGAATGGAGCTGCAGGTAGGTAGAGTTAGGCAGATTATGGTGTCTCTGTTCTTTAGTGGGTATAGCAGACGTCACAAGAGTTGGATGAAAGAATAGTGACAGAGCCCGGCCGGGCGTGGCTCAGCGGTTGAGCATCGACCTAGGATCCAGGCGGTCAGGGCACATGCCCAGGTTGTGGGCTCAATCAATGACTCTCTCATCATTGATGTTTCTGTCTCTCTCTCTCCCTCTCCTTTCCTCTCTCTGAAATCAATAAAGATATATTTTAAAAAAAAAACCAACAAAAAAAAAACTGGTTTCTTAAAAAAAAAGAATAGCGACAGAATGTGACTTCTCTCTCCAGCTGTTTGATCTGGCTTCCTTAGAAGAAGTATGAACACTGGTGAAAAGACATTCAAACAACAAAAATAGGCAACACCTGTTTTTCCTCAGGTTGACCTTTTCTGATTTTGTGCATCTAAACAACTCTTGTTTAGGGATAGAAAAATGTGAAACAATTTTAGGCGAACTCACTAAGCAATTCTAAAATGTCAGTGATTCTCCAGAGTTTCACATGGCTATTCATATAGCTAGTGGCTTTAAATGTGCCATATTAGAACAGTTGAGTGCCTAGAATATAACTGTTGGTGGGTTAATGATGAAGATGGAGTTGAGGAAGAGGAAGATAGCAAGCCAGGGAAATGCTCAACCATTTCAGGCTTTCACCATGCTCCTCGGAGTAGCTGACTGGTAGCTAGCATTGTGGAATCATGAGTCCCGCCAAAGCTGTTGTAACGTCCCTGTGTGGCTTTGAGTATCCCTGGATATTGACTAGTGAAATGATTCATTGAGCTTTATGCTGGAAGCCCACATACTCCACCCACTCTGTTGGAGGTGACATGATCAGCACAGAGACCCAGACAGATTTAGGACATGCTGTTTTTATACCCCCTCAATCATCTGGCTCTATTTGCCCTGCCTAATAGAAAAGGGAAAAGAAAGTCTGTGTCTTATGTAAAGATAAACATAACCTAAAGGAACAACAGAAGGGAAAATAACTTTGGAAATGGCTTTCTTTAGGAAAATCTCATTTACAGAGAAGACATCTATAAGAAAAGAATTATTCAAGAGAAGGTTTTAAGACACATTAATCAGACCGGGCTGTATCTATCCTGAGCCGCCTTTTCCTTAATGAAAACATGTTGTGGACAAGGGACAAAGTTAATGGAAGTCATTTTTTAAATTATATGTGAAGATCAAAGTGATCTTTATTGAAAGAAGAACAACTATTAATGTGACGGAGGCCTGAATGCTTATGTGATTAAACCAAATTCAAAATAACTAATAAAGCAGAACACACAATTAATGAAAAACTCGACAGTAGCATTCCTGAGTGCTCTTGAGCTATCCAGGCCATGCTGCCTTGTTTTCTCTTTTCTTTGTTTGTTTAAATACCCTTCTTTTGTGAGAACCTTTTTCCTGGATAAATGTTTCTTGGATATTTACTGGATAAATATTAATTACCCTTAATATATTTATAAAAGTCTGTTCATTTATTATGGTTTACATCTGGCAATTCTCCAACCAAATGCAAACTGTAGGTCATTTGTGCAAGCTGACCAGGTTTTCTGTTTTGCTTTGTGTTCTGTTTCTATGTTGTTGATTTCTGTCGAGAGAGAGGTATTCTCAAGGGAAGATGCTATAAATACTGAGTCAGGATCAGATGAGTAACATGAGGCAGTTTTTTAAATTAGTTGGAATCTGTCCTTACAGTGCAGGTTCATAGTTTATTAATAAAGTTTATTTTTTGGTTGAAAGAGTTTTAAAGTACCTCTTTTGGCTAAGAGTTTTTTAAAAAAATGTAATATTAACATCATTTTATTGTGGTTAACCTTGCCAAGAAGCTACCAGAACAGTGACATCATTCCCAGCACCTGAGTGTCTTCTTTTCTAGGACTCCTGATAGTTCAGGATGCCTCGGAGAGGGCAGCGCTTATACCTGGTGGTCTGTCTGATGGTCAGTTTTATTCTCCTCCTGAATCTGAAGCAGGTAAAAAATTTTGATTTCATTTGTGTTTTTGCCCATTATTCAAATGCTCAGTGTGCTCTCTCTCCCTTTCCTTCTCTCCTTCTACTTCTCAAAACACTTAGCAAACATTTAACATACCAGGTGTTTCAGATATGAGAATAACTAAAATATGGTTTTGATATGTGATCAGTGGTGAGACATAGAGCTGTAAAAATAAATGTAATAGCCGTGGCCATTGTTTCTCAGTGGTGAGAACGTTGGCTCATGCACTGAGGGGTCTTGGATTCAATTCTCGGTCAAGGGCACAGCCTAGGTTGCAGGTTTGATCCCTGGCCCAGGTCTGGGGGCTCATGCAGGAGGCAACCAACCAATGTGCCTCTCTCACATTGATGCTTCTCTCCCTCCCTCCCTTCCACTCTCTCTAAAAATCAATGGAAAAAATATCCTTGGGTGAGGATTAAAAATAATAATAAATAAATAAAAATAAATAAATGTAATAGAGGGCCAGAGACACTGTGGCTTGTAATTTGCATCTTAGAAGAAGGCAGGCAAAGACAGGGGTTTTGTTGCTTTTTTATTACCTGTCATCCCCTTAACCAGCCCTCCTCAGGGCCTGCCATGTCTGAGAATGGAAGCACTGTCTGCCCACCTTCCCAGGTTAGAAACCAGAGCCTCACAGGGACTCTGCCCGTTTTCAGCTCACACCCATTCATTCATTAAGCTGTTTGATCCTCTGTTTCTGCCTCCTTTATCTCATTCAAATTGTACCACTTAATTTCTTTTTTCCCTTTTTATTGAATTTATTGGGGTGACACTGGTCAACAAAATTATATGGGTTTCATGTACACAGGTCTACAACACAGCAGCTGTGCTCTGTATTGTGTGTTCACCATCCCAAGTCAAGTTTCCTTCCATCACCATTAACCCTCCTTCACCTCCTCCACTCCCCTCCCCTGGCAGTCACCACACTGTTATGTGTGTCCATGAGTTCTTTCTCTTTTTTTTCTTCTTTGCTCAATCCTTGCACCCTCTCCTGCCCAGCCACCCACCGCCTCCCTGGCAGCTGTCAGCCTGCTCTCTGTCTATGAGTGTTTCTATTTTGCTTGTTAGTTCATTTTGTTCATTAGATTACACATATGAATGAAATCATATGTATGTCACTTAATTTCATCCTGAGCTTCAATTCAGCATTTCTTGCTTCAGTTTCTACAGCAGCCCATCTCCCTGCCTGTTGCTTTCTCACAAGCAGCCACCAGAGTGCAGTGTTAAAAATAATAATTGAATTGTTCTAAGTGTTTCTCATAACCACTCTGATGTAAATGTCTCATCCTCCCTGTCTTAGAGATGAGCATGTTGAGGCACAGAGAGGTGAAGGAATTTGTCCCACATCATACAAAGAATAAGGGGTGGAGCTAGAATTTGAACCCTGGCTCTAGGGCTAGAGTCCATGTTCATAGCTAATAAATATACAGCCTTTAATATTAATGAAAATTAAAACTGGTCACATTATTTCCCTGGCCAAAAGTCTTCAGTGACATCAAGGATTAAGAAAGTCACGAATCCTTACCTGGCAGAACACACTTCTGTGATCCCCAGACCCAGTTTCCAACCCCTCTGCTTGTTCCTTTCCTTGTGTTCTGTTCTTAGTTTTTCTGAAAATGCTGTGTGCCAAAGCCCTCTCAAGCCATAGTGCATCTTGATTTTTTTTCAGCCTTAACACTACATCTCTGCAATCCTAGTCTCCACTCACCTGTTCAGAAGGCTCCCTGC